ATATGTACTAACAGTGTGCTGAGTAGGGACCCTAGCTTCATATGTACTAACAGTGTGCTGAGTAGGGACCCTAGCTTCAGGTGTTGATGTCTATTTCATCAGTTTTGTATTTTAAAAAAAATCCAGTGCATGCTTAATTAATTGTAGTCATAAATAACAGAATTTTGCCTGTTGTTGTAGTAGGGAGAACTTGTTTTTTGGAAGTAGATAAATGCAATCTTGCTATACTCACAAGAACATTTTATTCTTGTACAAGTTCCTAAAACTGAAAGAGGAAAAAGAGCAGAGGTAAAATGTGTCTAGGACTAGAATTGTTGGAATTCACATTAACTTACCTAATTCCACGGTCATTACCATTTCACGCTGTGCCCCTGTACGGTAATTATATTTCCTCTACTACAAAACACCTTAAAAACGCTGAGTAAGATTATGATGCAAATCAATGCACCATGAAGAAACTGGAATCTCCAGAGCCAGAGAGAATTAATGAGACAGCTGATGTGGCACATTTATCTTTAGGCTCAGATGAGGAAAGATGTGGAAATAATCTACCACTATAAAAATATGATCCTTTTGGGGGTGCACACAAGGTGAACTAGAAAAATGGCCTGGCTTTCAACACCAAAAATAAATGGAGCCTCTCTCTTCAGGCCTGTACACTGAATTTTTAAAAGGGGAAAAACTGTCCTTTGTCCTTTCTGAAATTCTTTAGCCAGAAACTTGCTTTCACATGAATTTTGGTCTTATATTTATAATATATGACATATTATATATAATGATATAAATATATAATGTATAAATATAGAAAATATATACTACATACATATGTGGAATAGCAATGTATAAACATAAATTAATATTGAGAACCTCCCTGAGTCACCCTGCCACTAGGGCATGTGGAAGAAGTAGACATTTAAAAATGCTTTGTGTAGAGTTCCTTCCGTATGTTTAGCCCTATGAAAAGTGAGCGTGCCCAAACCAACAACCTGCCAGAGCGAGCACCAGTGATGAAAGAGTAGAGATTACACCCAGGACCTTAAAGAAAGAGTCTGGGGACAGCGGATGAGAACGTTGGAAACAGCATTAGAATTCAGATTTGGGGGAGGAGGAATGAAAATCAGCCACTCCAATGAAAGATCTCAGTAGAGAAGTAGCAAAAATACTTGAAACAACTCAAATGTCAAAAGTGGACCAGATAAATAACCCACACAATAGAATGAACTGAGGTACAAACAGTGATTTTCAAAAAAAGAATGAACATGGAATGTGTATATCTGTGGAGCATGTGTAGAGAAATGAGCATAGAAATGAATGGAAATAGGAAAAAGGATACTTGCACTTGGTATACACCAATTATGAAACCAGATATTTCTACTGTATTAAGAGGTAACATTTACCATTTTGGAGATTATACACTATATCAGTGTGATTGTGGGGGAAAATTAAATCGCTATTTACCATTGATTACAAATAAATAAACAAATTACAGGACTTGAAGGAAAAAGGAATTCTATAAGGCAATAGCAGAAGATACGAATATCTAAGTAAATGGTGTTTGTAGATCAAGCTATGGATACCACATGGTTTGAAGGAATCCCCTGAGGCATATATTCAAATTTAACTCGTTTTGGAATTAAGACAACTCCCATTGCTGTGATTGACTGATTTGACTGCTTCAGTTCGCAGTTCTAGGTTGCAGTCCATTTTAGTAGGGAAGACAAAATGGCAGATGTTTAAGGGAGCTGGTTGCACTGCATTCAGTCCGCAGCAATTTATTCCACTTTATGTAAATCAGAATCTCTACCTAGTGCATGGTGCTAGGGTTTTGCCCATACGCTAGTCTGGCAGGTGATTTTAACTTCTGTCAGGTTAACAACAATCACGAGAGCATAAACATGGCCAGGTTTAGTTACTAGGGTGGAAACCCTGTGATGCAGTCTTGGTGGCTTTAGAAGGTATAAAATACACAAAGCCGGGCGGTGGTGGTGCACACCTTTAATCCCAGCAGAGGCACCCGGATCTCTTGAGTTTGAGGCCATCCTGGTCTACAGAGTGAGTTCCAGGAAAGCCAGGGCTGTTTCTGAGAAACTCTTGTATTGAAAAACCGAGAGAGAGAGAGAGAGAGAGAGAGAGAGAGAGAGAGAGAGAGAGAGAGAGAGGAAGGGAAGGAGAGAAGAAAGAAAAAGAAAATAGTCACATGAAGCCCCTACCTCTTGATATACATTGTCCTGCACCTCTTGGAACTCCCAACCAAGGAAACTGTTACCACATTGATCTCCTCTTTCATGTTATCCTGTATTTTAGTCTATCAGAAAAAAAAAGAACTAAAATAAATTGGAAGATTTAGTAAAGTAAATGCATTCATTCAATCCAAATCAAAGCAAAAGTTTAATGCAATTCCTATACAATCCCAGTGAGAACTTAAACTAGCTGAAATGCTTTAAAGGAAAGTGCAATGTTTCAAAAATTACTAAATAGTGCCAGAAATTCATATTGGCAGAGATACGCATACAAATGAATGGAATAATGCTAAAAGGACCTCACAGAATCACAGGGTGTGCAATTGGAT